CACACACACACACACACACACACACACACACACACACACAGATTTGATGTGGTTTATGACAAACAGCAAGAGCTGGCAGAATTCGGAGGAGATAGGAGGAAGTGGCGTCCCCCTGGGGACTCCGGTCACAGGCTGCTGTGCAGAGGCTGTGGCACTGAGTCTCCCGGGTCTACACAGTGCCACAGCCTTCGCTCCTTGCGCTCACAGACAGTATCTGTTTTTGATTCTGTGGCTGGGATGGCCTGGAACTCTTATAGCCCAGGCTGGCTTGAACTCACTGCAGTACTCCTGCTTTATCCCCGAAAGTGCTGGGATTATAGCATGTGCCACATACACAGACAGACAAAACACACACACACACTAAATGATGGGGTCAGAAAGTTTTAAATTAGTATTGGGGATTAAACCAGGTGTCTCTCTCACACACAAACCAGGCAAGCACCCTACCCCTGAGCCATATCCCCAGCAGCCTGCCTCATCTCCTTTAATTGCTTTTTTGAAATATGGTTTCACGTAGCCCAGGCTAGCCTCAACAAAACTTGTCAGATAACAGAGGCTGGCTTTAAATTCCTGATTCTGCCTCTACTTCTCAAGTGCTGGGATTACAAGTGTGGTACACCATTCCTGTCCTTTTGGAAAACAAAACAAAACAAAACAAAACAAAAAAAACTATTTTTAAAATTTGAGACAAAGCCTAGCAGCGGTGATGCTCTCCCCTTTAATCTCAGCACTCAGGAGGCAGAGGCAGGTGGGATCTTTGAGCCTGGTCTAGAGAGCAAGTTTCAGGACAGCCAGGGCTACACAGAGAAACCCTGTCTTGAAAAGTCTTGTAAACAGTCTTTCCTATGGGCATCTGATCTGATTGAAATCTTGTTGGAGTATATGAGAAGGTGAGAGGGAGAGCAGGAGCCCTAGGAACAGGACTCTCAGTCTGCTCTTCAGCATGGAGAAGGCTTCACAGATCTCCCTCTCCATATTTTTTGCTCTTAGGGAGTCTACCAAATTTGGAGACGAGCCGTGGCCAAGAGCTGGGCTCGTGGGTCCTGGGTTGGCTGGGTCTTTGGCAGTGGTACACGTGCAGAGTGCTCACCATCTTTCCGCCGGTCGCTCTCATATGGTGCTGCTCGGCTAGCCAGTGCTTGTCCTGAGGATCTGCTGCATACTGTGAGGGATAAAGTTAGTCGGGGACACATTAGCTCTTGGCCCTTTACTAGTTCTTCCAACGGGACTGTCTTAATTAGGGTTTTTATTGATGTAGTGATGTGCAGAGACACCACGACCATGGAAGCTCTTACAAAGAAAACATTTAATTGGGGTGGCTTGCTTACACTTTCAAAGGTTCAGTCCGTAATTATGACCAGGAATATGGCGGCATGCAGGCAGATGTGGTACTGGAGTTGAGGGTACTACATCTTGCAGGCAACAGGAAGTTGACTGACAGTCACACTGAGGAAAGCTTGAGCAAAGAGGCCTCAAGGCCTGCCCACATAGTGACACAATTCCTCTGACAAGGCCACACCTCCTAATAGTGCCACCCCCTTTAGGGGCCATTTTCTTTCAAACCACTATAGGGACCCTGTCCTAGACAGGTGTGTATGCCCAAGGGTTCATAAATCTCTAGAGAGCAAGCTGAGTCAAGCCCAGAAAGCCAGGGGTTGCAAACTAGTTGTTAGAGATTGGGTACGTGTCCATTCTCTCTTAAGTCCCTGAGATAGTTTAAATATAATTGGCCCCCATAGGGAGTGGCACTATTGGGAGGTGTGGCCTTGTTGGAGGAAGTGTGTCACTGTGGAGGTGGGCTTTGAGGTCTCATATAGGCTTAAGCCATGCCCAGGATTGCCGACCACTTCCTGTTGCCTGTGGGTCAAGATACAGGAATCTAGCTCCTTCTCCAGCACCATGTCTGCCTGCATGCTGCCATGTTGCGCCATGACAATAATGGACTAAACCTCCGAACTGTAATCCAGCCCCAACTAAATGTTTCTTCTTTATAAGAGTTGCTGTGGTCATGGTCTCCTCACAGCGATAGAAACCCTAACTAAGACAGTCTCCTTTCTTAAAACATAGCATCCCTGGAAACAAATGACAGTTATTTTAGAGCCTGTTTAAAATGATCACAAGTGCCTTATAACACCTGTAGTTATTATGGGGTCAGTATTTTCTTTCTTTCTTTTTGGTTTCTGACAGGGTATCACTATGTAGCCTGGGCTAGGATTAACTCTGGATCTCCCTGGCTCTGCCTCTGAGTCCTGGGACTTGAGCATGTGCTAATACCTGGTAGGACCATATTTCCTAAAACAAAAGGCAAGAAATAGCCTCATGTAAACCACCTGATTCTAGAGTTTGACAAAGACAAACAAGGTTTAAATTAAACTTCTCACCACTTTGTACATGATAGAAGTCTGGGTGGTAACTTCCTCCAGACTCAGTTTCCTCATTTATCTTTTGTTTTTCAAGACAGGGTTTCTCTGTGTAGCTTTGGAGCCTGTCCTGGATCTCGCTCTGTACACCAGGCTGGCCTTGAACTCACAGAGATCCGCCTGGCTCTGCCTCCCGAGTGCTGGGATTAAGGGCATGCGCCACCACTGCCCGGCCTCAGTTTCCTCATTTGTAAAATGGAAAGTAGTACAACCAAGCACGGCTGTCTTAGCTAGGGTTCTATGACTATAAAAAGATACCATGACCATGGCAACTCTTAGAAAAGAAAACATTTAATTGGGGTGGCTTCTTAATTCAGAGGCTTAGACCATTATCACTATGGCAGGAAGCAAGGCAGCATGCAGGCAGACATGGTGCTAGAACTGAGCGTCCTTACATCTTGACCCAAGGGCAACAGGAAGTCAACTGTCTCACTGGGTGTGGTTTGAGCATATATAAAACCTCAAATCCCACATCCACAGTGACACACTTCCCCCAACAAGGCCACACCTCCTAACAGTGCTGCTCCCTTTGGGGGCCATTTTCTTTCAAGTCACCACAATGCCTGTAACCTCAGTATGAGGAGGAGGCAGGAGGATCTGGAGTTCAAGGTCACCCTCAAATTTATGGTGACTTTAAGGTCAGCCTGGGCTAACTAAGACCTTGTCAAGAGAGAGCCAGTATTTATTTTATAGGGTTCTTTTTATTTTTTCCAGACAAGGTTTCTCTGTGTAGCTCTGGCTGTCCTAGACCCTGCTCTGTAGACTCACGTACATGTGCCTCCTGGGATTAAAGGTGTGTGCCACTACACCTGGATTTTCTTTCTTTCTTTTTTTTAAAACAGGGTTCTTGCCGGGCGGTGGTGGCTCACGCCTTTAATCCCAGCACTTGGGAGGCAGAGGCAGGCGGATCTCTGTGAGTTCAAGGCCAGCCTGGTCTTCAAAGTGAGTTCCAGGAAAGGCGCAAAGCTATACAGAGAAACCCTGTCTTGAAAAAACAAAACAAAACAAAAAAACCAAACAAACAAAACAAAAACAAACAAAAAAACACCCAGGGTTCTTGTTAGGAAGAAATGATAGTGCAAAATGGTAAATGCAGTGTGACACACAAGTGCTCCAAAGAGCTCGGTCATAAAGCGGGCAGGCTGTTGAAACAGAGGTGGGGATCTCAGCTACGCGGCTGCTTGCTTGGAGGTGGGGTCTTGCTAGATGGCCCAGGTTAGCCTGTCCAAGAATTTATGGCAATTCTTTTGCCTCTGCCTCTCAAGGGCCTGGACAACATAAGACCTATGGAAAAAGTCTGGGAAAAGTGCTATACATTCTATACCGTTGTTAAAAGAAAGATGAGGGAGAGCTCTTCTAGTACAGACAAGCTACTAAAATGTCACCTATCAGATTGACAACAAGTCTTTCTGTAAAAATACCAGTCAGCTGTCAGGTGCTGGTGGCACACACCTTTAATCCCAGCACTCGAGACAGGTGGCTCTTTGTGAATTTGGGGCCAGGTTGGCTACAGAGTGAGTTCCAGGACAGCCAAGCCTACACAGAGAAACCCCGCCTCAACAAACAAACACCCCCATGCCAGTCAGTAAGTAATTTAGGCTTCCTAGTCTCATCCTTCTGTCTTTTTTCTTTTTTTTTTTTTTAAATCTTTAACTTGGGGGGGTGGAGGGCACATGCCTTTAATCCCCAGCAATCAGGAAGCAGAGGCAGGAGGACCTTTGTAAGTTAGAGGCCGGCCTGGTTTACATAGTGAGTTAGTTCCAGGACAGTCAGGACTACACAGAGAAACCCTGCTTCAAAAAAACAAAACAAACAAATACTTTTTTTTTTTTGAGACTGGGTCCCATGCAGCTCAGGCTGGCCTCCAGGTCACTAGGTAGCTGAGGCTAGCCTGAATCTCCTGCTGCCTCTTCCCAAGGGCTGGGACTATAGGCATGTGCTACCAGACTGGCTATTTTCTTGTTCCCCCTTTTTGAGACAGGGCTACCACCTTGGTTCTATTCCACTCATTGCTTTATGTCCAGCATTGTGTGAGTGTTCAGAACTTCATATGCACTCAATACATATTTGCCCAGTGCTTGTAGCAGAGCATGACCTTGAACTCCTGATCCTCCTGCCTCTGCCTCCAATGTGCTAGGATTACAGGTGTATATGTATCATACCAGGTGAGAGGGGTCTATATTTCCATGATTAAAAAACTAAAAGCAGGGCCAGACATGAGTGCATACCTTTAGTCCCAGCACTCAAATGGCGAAGGCAGAAGGGCCTCTGAATTTAAGGCTAGCCTGGTCTACAGAGCCAGCTCCAGGACAAGTGGACAGACAGGTCTACATAGAGAAACCCTATCTCAAAAAACAAACAAAACAAAACAAAACCCTACAAAAAACCTGAAAGTAGAAAGGAAGTCGGGCAGGGTGCATGGTGCCTGTGCCCAGCCTTAGCCTGAGTACTGGAGTGCAGGCTACACTACTATTTCAGGGGTAATCTCATCAAGCAATGGAGCTCTCCAAACTGGGCTTGGCACAGCTGGGCAAAAGGTACAGGAGATGGCTAAAGGGAACTAGAACCCAGATGTTTTGACTGCCAGGCCAGTGTATGTCCACGCTTCTCTGACCCTTGCGGTTTCTAAGCCATCTCAACCATGCAGTGGTACGCCTCTGTCCTACCTTAAAGAGGTGTGGGTGCTTGATGTAGATTCTCCCTCTGGTGCCTCCCATCCCTAAGGCCCTGAAAAATGAAAGATGAGCGGTAGCAGGTGCAGACCCGGTTAATGGATCCTTGAGCTAATCCTCCCCATTAGTACTGCGGGTCTCAGACTTACTTGTTGGCTCGAGACCCCAAAACAAAGGTGGTCGATTCATTCAGCCGAGCTGGGTCCCACTGAAAGAAACAGGACAGCGAAGTGGGGTTTAATGTGCCGTGCAGGCAGAACCAGACCCCCCCTCTCCTCCTCCCTCCTTGTCCACTGTCAACAGCTTACACAGGAAATAGAGAACTCACATATGTTAGGAGAGAGAGGAGTTAAGATACAGACAGTTCCCCAGGAGTCCCAGACACACAGACTGAAAGAACACTGTCTGCTGGGGCCATGACTGGCTGGGTCAGGCCATGAGAGGTGTCAAAGGGATGGATGGACTAGCCACAAAGTCTCTCTTGAAGAGATAATGCCTGAAGTTACTTCTGGGAGGGTGAGTGCGAGTCAAACAGGTAGTGGGAGGAGGGAGGCCCCCTAGACAGAGTGTGGTACATGATGAGTGTCAGTTTGGAATACTGGAGAGACTGTACTTTCTGTGTCGGAGGGAGAAGTGAGCGGCAACCAAAGAGGCTGGAGAGAGAAGCCCAGAGAACTGGAGGACCTCAGCCACACTGATGTTTGTGTCGAATGATCCAGAGCCCTCAGGGACCACTCCAAGTGAGAGCCTGGTGTCCTTTCCTGACAGTTTACTCTTTCAGCAGTGTGGTGGGTGGACAGGGGTGCTGCTGGGACAAGTCAGAACTTCCAGTAACTAAGGGCCTGAGCCTCGGCAACAGTAAGGAGAAGAAGAGGGGCAGGGACTGTAGTACATCCACAGGGAAGGCTGACTGCGTGCAAAGCGGTGAGGGAAGGCAGCAGGCAAAGATGGCCAAGACAAGGAATAGGAAAGAAGATTTGGAGAGTGGGCTGGGGGTGTAACTTAGCAGAGAACCGTTCACCTAGCATATACAAGGCCCCATGTTCAATCCCTAGCACAGTCATCACCACAAAGAGTGGAGCCTGTCATGGTAGTACACATCTATAGGCCCAGAACTGGTGAGGCTGAGAACGATCCTGAGTTCAAGGCCAGCCTGGGCTACAGTGAGATCCTTTCAGGATCCTATCTCAAAATAACAAAACAACAACAAAAACCGTTTTTGAGGAAAGGCCCTCATTACAATTTTTCTTTTATTATTATTATTAATTTATTTAATGTGCATATTTGTCTGTGTGAGGGTGTTGGATCCCTGGAATTGGAGTTACAGCCAGCTGTGAGCTGTTGTTGTGTGGGTGCTGGGAATTGAACTCAGGACCTCTGGAAGAGCAGCCGGTGCTCTTAACTGCTGAGCCGTCGCTCCAGCCCCTCTCACTACAGTTTTGGTCCGCTGTGTTTGAGAGCTTGTGGGGCACAGCTACTGAGTGACCTCTTCCTCTGCCAAGGAAGGGCGTCCTCTTGGAGTGAGTGCAGCCTCAGGAGGGGAGCACATGGAGTGGAGAGTGTGCTACAGGCCATTTGCCTAGCCTGCCAGATCACCCTAACTCCAGTGACCAATGGGGTGACATGTGTTGTAGCCAGATTGCCCTTGCATCCTAGATAAGCTGTGTTTGACACGCCCATGCAACTCCAGGCAGAGAGGACTAGCAGACAGGAAGATAGACAAGGTTTAAGCAGCCAGGTATGAGAAGGACAAAGAGACTTGGGAGATCTAAGACCTGGTCCTGAAATCACAAGTGTGGATGATTAAGATCCCTGTGCCCACCTGGAGAGATGGCTCAGGGGTTAAGAGCACTTGCTACTTTTGCAGAGGACCAAAGTTAGAATCCCATCACTCATATCAAGCAGCTCACAATCACCTATAATTCCAGCTTCAAGGGAATGTAACACCCTCTTCTGACCTTCATGTGCATCCATGTACATACACTTAAAAATTTATACTAAAATAAAAAGACCCCGAGAGCCAGTGAGACGGCTCCCTGGGCAAAAGCACCTGCTCCGAGTCTGAGGACCTGAGTTTGACCCCCAAGACCCCAGTGGAAGGAGAGAACCAACTCCCCTGGGATGTCCTCTGACCTCCACATGATTGTCTGTGTGCACACTCAACACATAAACCTAAGTCACAGAGGGCAGCTTTCAGTGAAGTGGGCTAGGGATGCCTATTCTATAGGTCATGCTGAGGAAGAGCTCCTCTTAGGACGAAGAACGGGGGCTTAGAGAGAACAAAGATTCAGGAGAATGTAGTATCAGCAGCTCTAATTAGAGTTCTAGAAATTTCTTGAAGATTTCAGAAGAAAATTCACAACTACAGGGAAGTAAAGGGCTATATGAGATGGCTGTGTTGGCTAGTTTCATGTCCACCTGACATAGGTTAGAGTCTTTTGGGTACAGGAACTCTTTAGCTGAGAAAACGCCCCTATCTGCCTACAGAGCATTTTCTTAATTAGTGATTTATGTGGGAGGGCCCAGCCTTTTGTGGGTGCTGCTGTCCCTGAGCAGGTGGTCTGAGGTGCTACAAGAAAGCAGGCTGACAGGCATGGTGGCTTATGCCCTTAATCCCAGTACTTAGGAGGCAGAAGCAGGGGGCTATTTGTGAGTTTGAGGCCAGCCTGGTCTATATAGTGAGTTCCCAGACAGGCAGACCTACACAGTAAGACCTT